AAGCTTCTATTTAAACGATACTATGAAAGTGTGTGAAGTTCAAAGGCTTTACAAATTACCGCTGCTATACAGAACAGAATATAGTAATCACTGAAAACGATTCAATCATGTGTGACATCGTAAAGTTCAATGAACTTCAAGATTATTGAAAAACAATTCAGGTTCGCTCTCTAACCAGTCAAGCGTAGCTGTCCCTTCCAAGCTGGATGACCTTTCCTTAAATTTAGCGTTTAAATTACCTGTCAGTAATACATAATTGTCGTACGCTAGAGTACTAAGTAAGGTGGAGGGTTTTTTCGAATTTCTACTATCATGAATAGATCTAAGATAACAAACATTAGTACAAAATTAGTCACTAAATTTGATATTTATAGTAGATCTGATCTCATAATTCTGAACGTTTTTTTTTGTCTGAACCCTTAATTGTTCTAGTGACTGATACTGGATAGGCCATGATCATTTTAAATAAATACCAAAACATCAGTAAGCGTTGTTCGATGACACCAATTCCTATTCAATTCTCAAATAAGATTAAATTTTAACTATTCAAAAGCAATTTAATAAATTAATTTGACGATTATTGGATTAGGATAATATCATTTGTTGGTTTTTCTACGTATGAACTATTGAGACACTTGGTTGATATTCTATGTCCAACAGGACGTATTACTATATCAAAGACTCCATCTCTATCGTGGAACAGATCAAAGATTATTTTAGTTCTTAGGATAAAGCCATAGTTTCATTAGATGTGATTTTCTTGTTCACAAATATTCCCACTAAGTTTGTCACTGATCATGTTGATGCAGAATGCAGCCAAATACACAGAGGTTTCTCTCAACTTAATGATGAAGATTTGTGTACATCGTAGGTCTTTCTTGATATACCCGCCAAAAATGTTGTTGTTACTATTTTTTAATTACTGCATTTTTGGATAATCAGCTACACAAATATTTTTAGTATTAGAAATTTAACATTAAGATATATGTAAATATCACATATATTATTCGCATAATTATTATAGTCTTCGCGGTAACCCTTTTCACACCTTGTTCGGTGCACTTGTTGAATATGAAAGTAAGTATATTTATCTCGTATATATCGTATATCAGTTATATTTGATGACTTTACAGCTTCAATAATTTCAGTGTTTATAGCTAGTAATTTTCTTACTTATATTCTTGTTTATGTCCTCTATTATTGGGTAACACTTATCAAAACTTTTTGAAATTTGTTATAAAATTTAGTTGCTTCGTTATAAATTGGAATAATTCATTTCAGATGTTTTATAATTACTTTTCCAGTTTGTAATTAAGTGTTGTAACATCTTGTATGCGACGTGCCACGGAAATTGTTGTCAATTCGTCAATGATACCAGCAATGCAAAAATGTGAAATATTTACCCATAGTACACAAAATCATGACAACCTTTCAGCAGATAGATTGTTGTTTAAGTACTTCAGAGAGTTGAATTATATTCCAGTGTAAGTTTTAGAAGAATACAAATTTCAAATGTTATATAGGAAGTTTCGCCATAAAGATATTGTAATATTAGAGATTCAATGAAGTAGTACTCAAAGATAAAATTGGGTAAGATAAACAAAAACAAAACCTTTCACAACTTCAGCAAGAAATATTTGAGCTGAATTATTACCACTAATATCAGATAGTTGGTATCATGTGTTACATATAGTGAACTTATAAAACACATTTCGTTGAAAATTTAGGAACACATTGAGGTACAAGAGAATTTATAGCTAAAAAATATTTCTAAAAGATCAAAAAAATATCCCAAAATACATCCAAAAGCCCATCACAATTCACTGAGTTTAGTCACTTTTGTGCCTAAAAACATCCATTTGCACGGTTTTTTTACTTTTACATGATACATCAATGTTAGGGCGTTAAAAATAACAAACATATGGTTTCATGAGTATTAAGTTACAAAAAGTTAAAAACGCTACACAAACAGAATTGTCTGAAATTATTTAAACTAAAAAAAGTTACGGTTTATTGAATATATTTCTCGCTATTGTATTGATTAGATAGACATGTTCCAAAATATCCAAAAAATATGTGTTAGATTATTACTATTATTAAAAATAAAATTGGATGAAATTGCGTCAACCTGCGCGGTGTAAGATGAATTTTGAATATTGCAAGAAAATGATCATCCAAGCTGTGAAGGAAAAATACAGATCTACTTTTGAAGAGCCGCAAAAGGTCATGACGCAAATGATAATTTAATTCCATATTATAGGATCTGCTTGAATTTGAAAGTGACGAGATTGATCAGAAATTTTTTGATACTATAAGTACGAAGGCCGGTGTAAATCACCAGAAGCAAGTTCGAAGCCACTTCAATTCATTTCGAACTTGTTTCTGAAGAAGGTTGTAACGTGGCATCCGAAACGTTAAACACTTTCAAAAGATGTATGGCTTAACCCGAAAGTTCCTAGTTCTAGGTCTAGTGTTAGTTTTAGTGAAGTTAGAATCTCTACAGCACTTAAAAGCTCCAGAGACTTATTTAGACATGCTAAATAAATATAAACTTGTTACAAAAACATTTTTAAAATAAAATATATTAATCGTAAATTCTCCTAATATTTTGAGTAACAAAAGTTTTGAAAATTTATTGAAACTCACTTTTATTTAATTAAAGGTTTTTATTGTTATATTTAAACGAATCAATAAAATACTGGGTCGAACAATGTTGTTTCTTTTTAAAGTAAATGTTCAAGCAAATACTTCCTAAATTAAATTACAGTAATTAGTGTAGTAGAAGAGGATGTTTTGAGAAGGGTTGAAGAAAAGCCAGGTACGAGCATAAGAAGGATCTCTGCTGCAGTAAACATTAATAACTCACTAGTTCGGAGAATTTTACGTCAGCAACAATTGTATCCTTACCATGTTCAACGAGTGCAAAAACTTGTCGCTCCTGACTACGTTTCGAGAAGAGACAAAAGACGTAATTTTGAATTTTCATAACAATCATGTTTGGGAGGATAAAAATCCTCACGCTGTTGTGTTCTATTTGTATTTTCCCCAATTAAATAAACATTTGAGGACCAAGACGCTTCATTCACTAATAACACTGGAATTGTTTATATCTTCTAAACCACTGCTTTTAGGACCTAAGTTTACTAAGATTTTTTATTTATCTTGGTGAGAACTATAAGTGGGCAAAATATCCGAACACAATTTTTAAACACCCGGTATATTTGTTCATCGATCAAAGGTATCCTTAAGAACAGTTTCAGGTATATGATCTCAAATTGAAAATGGTGACGATTATTGGCATGAGCATATTACAAAATATTTCTTAATTGTTAAAGCCTCATAACCAAAAAAAAAAATAGTTCCAGATTTATTAAGGGAGACATCTTCTCTTTAGGGTGTACATCTTCGTGAATATTATCTTCATTCATGAGTTTGTCTACTTCCGGAAGGATATGCAAAACATCAATACAATCTAAATTTATTTATTTTCTATTGGGCGTTCCATAGCGGCATACATACGCCCTTTACCAACTATTTCAGTAGAAACAAGAAAAATTACCGATTTCAGTAGAAACAAGAAAAACTAAGAATATAGTTTAGAATTAAGACATTTAGAAAGTTTACCCTAAGCTTTCTAGAGTCGTCTCCGTTTCATTTTGATTTACGTAAATATCCATTTTATTCATGGCACTGTTTATTTCACTGTTTCAAAATTCAACAATACATTGAAATGAAATGGCAGAAACTAAGTGCTCCAATATAATAGCAACACCTGTTTACTAGAACTTTATTTTCAGATAAAATACACATGTGGTAAACGGAAAGTGGGAAAAAACCAGTGGTGTGCCAACACACCATTGGCCATAAATGGGTTAATATAGTTCGGTGAATCTGAATCAGACGTTAGTTTATTAAACAGTATTTGTAAGGTAGTATGCTAAAGACTTTGGATTCTAAAGCATTTAGTACAGTATTTAAAAATGTTTAAAACAATTTTCTTTGGTTAATAATAAGCGGATGATTGTAAATCACCGTTCGTCGACAAGAATCTACAATTGGCAGACTCGATCTACTTTAGATTCCAATTACCTCTGGTATGAGACACGTAAAGAAATTTATCGACATCTCAGCGTTTAAAATCAAGAAAACTTTGGAATTTGATCGAGTTAGTAACAAGATTTCAATGGAAATCTTTACCGGACATTCTCGATTAAAGACGCACCTCAATACAACGGTTTGTGCAATGATGTGGAGTTACGACTATGTTTGGAGATCGAGAGGGCAGTTTTAAAAGTTCAGTCAATCAATAAAAGATTGATACACATAATACTGATTATTCTTCAAATCAAATGAAATTAACTTGGTCTTATATTTACGAATTATTTAAAAATGTATATGCCACTGAAAATATAAATCAACATGGCATTTCCTCTCAAAGAAGGCGATAATCAAAAATTATGAACCTAATTTTTGTGAGACAACAAAATTTGTTAAAATTTTATGCCATATGATTAAAAAAAAACATTGGTTATTATTAAAATTTGATAGATGATACTACTTTCAATTGAGCAACAGGTTTCTTAATGTCAGATTTGATTGGGTCCATGTCCAAAAAAATAATTCCTTTTAAATAGTTTATAAATATTCCATTATTCATTTATAATCATTTTTTTATTTTCTTTTTTATAATACACAGATGTTTAGAACTTGATTTTCTACCGTTATCCCATATGTCCTGTTCAAGATAATATTCGCATTCGCTTCTATGAAAAATCGATTCATGAGTCTTGTGGGTTAACGGTACAAGGGAATGCTTTGGTTATGCGCGAGTATGTGGTTGGCTCAACCTGTCGAACAACAAACGCACACGGTACGTCGTCTCTAATAGCTTCGGAGTTTCACGACAAAGAACGTTTACAAAAAAAAATGGTTAATTTGAAACGATGCCCATCTATGTCTATTTTTAGAGTACAGTTAAGTAATTTTTAAAATTCTCTTACCTCCATTAGTAGGTGGTGTTGACGGTGTGGTTTGGCCCTGGGTCAAAATAATCTGCGACTCCAATTCGCTAAGCTCATTTTTAAGTTCAGTCAACTTTAAATTTGATCTTTTAACAATTGTGTTTACGTGATTTACGGATTTTCTATCTGTTGATACTTCACGTAATTTTTCGGCCCCCTCTTTGATCTTCAACTCCTTTCGGATCTCCCGTTTGATAATCTCTCGAAGCTCTTCCAGTTTCATTGCGTCGGAAAGATTTTCAGTTTGGAGTCCGTACTTATGGGACAAATCGTAGAGGACAGGGTGCCGGATGTAATCACCCTGAAAATATAATTAACTTTACTATATGGCTTGACTTAAATTATATGTTATATTTAGGTACAAAACAGTTTTGAAGTCTCGGTTGTAACCGATTAAGAACTAGAATCAAAATTACCGCATCGGGTTTAGTTGGCACATCAAATTGTGCAATTATCCTAAAGAGGATGCAGCTCATTTCATGACATAATAATATTCACCCTCGTTTTTGTTTCGTTAGAAGTGGGAACGCGAAGAGAATATTAACAATATTTCTTGGAAAAGCAGTTTTAAGGATTGGAAGCCGTTAGTCGATCTATTTATACGCAGTTTAGCGATGATGGCGACATCTATTTCTAGCATCGAGAGAGTAGTTAAAATACAGATGCAACTCGAAGTAATAGAATAACAAAGAAGACAAAGAGGATTAATTTATGTTAATTGGTTTTAATTGTTTCTAGATGAGACATGAATAGAATACAAGTGAGGTTGAAGGTAAATGTGAGGCGAGGAATTTTAAATAAATTATTATTATTATAGAGAAAATCGTTTCGATCCTTTTCGAGAAGAACTTGGTCATGTCGATGACGACCTTGCGCTTAAGGAAAAAAAGGAAAACCAATCGCCGAACATGTCTTGACCTTTGCCAACGATGATCGACTAATTGGCAACCGGCGAGTTACACTGTAGCGTGACAATTTGCACGACTAACATTACCACGAGATTGGTCGAACTGCAGGAAAAAAGTTATACAGGGTGTAATTTTTTCCCCACTATAGAAGCTCATTAAAGTGAAATTATAGCTTTTTTTGTAGAACAGTAAATCGTTTATTCCCGCTCATTAATTAGGTAAAGCCTATATGTAAATTATAGCAATAAAAGTTGAAATCGAACATTTTTCCTCCGTATAAGGGTGTATAACTTTTCATCATTCATAACAATGGGTAATTCTTGATCTCAAGTGTCCAGTAACGAGAAGTTATCCCTGGAATTCGTGTAGATCACGAATATAGCTAGATCTCGAGGGAAAAACCCAGGTTCACGATATAGATAAAGTAGCGATACGGGGTTCTCTATAAACGGTTAATTTATTGACAGATTGCCCTTTAACTGATTTGTAGCAGTATCGTGCTTTAAACCCATTTATCTAGAACGTTGCTTCACACTTCGAAATTTGCTAAATTGTTTTCTCACCGTTAAATATTTTCTTTAAGAGCATAAACAATGGGTTCACCTGTAAATTTTAATTTTAACTCAAATAAAATGCGCAACATAAACGTTTGTCGGAAAAATTATGTCCCATTTCTTTTCGTTTCCAAACGAGAGGAGTATCTCACAAAAAAAGCCTTGTTCAAGTTTTATTTTCCCACAATTCTCGAGTCGAGAAAAAAGTAATTAACATTTATACATAGTTTACAACCGGTCACACATTTAATTAATACTAGGCCACGTCCAACTTTCTTATTATGTATACGAAAATCTAGTTGTAAACATGTGGCGATGTTAATCATTAAAAACGCGCTTTTAACTGTACTTTATTGGCATACTAAACTTTTTTTGACAACGTTCGACCTAGAAACTATTTTCTTTTATAAAGGATTTCTAGTTTTCACAATAAAACACCTTCTATGAAGGGTATATGTATGCACCTCATTAGGATCGCAAGAATCTGTGTCACACCTGTCGATTGAACTAGCCTCTTGTGCACTACACTGAGGTCGTCTCCTTCTCTTTGGTGATTGTTTGCAAATTTTCCCCTTTCCACCACAATTGCTCGATCCGTGGGAGTGCATTCGGGATTCCAATTCAAAGTTCCTATACATTCCCCGAACAAACAAACAAACAATGCAACAAAAAACTCAAACACACACTTTCTTCTTCAAACGGTAATCGCACCAAAAACAGATACAAAAAACATCGTTAAAAACAGGATATCTGTTTCAAACAACTTCACTTTTCCGCTTCAAACCACTAGACCTTCTATCCTTAACTGTTTGTTTACAGTTTACGTTAAGAAATCGTGCCAAGTAAACATCAAGTTGAATTCGATGAAGAAAGATTTTTTTATCTCCGCGATTTCCATTCGATTTTCTTTGCTAGTTGCTCACACGTGACCTTAAAGTGAAATTGGACGGCACAAACAATAGTCTAACAGACGAGGGCGAGGCGCAATCATAATTAAACAGCGACCCCGATGCGATGCACCGCTGAAGATGGTTCCACTCCTATAGAATCATAAGTCGTGTCCATGAACTAAAAAGTATCTTTAGAAAAGAATAATTTTCAATGTATGTACAGTAAAATCTCGATATAACGGATTAAAACGGGGAAGAGAGAGAGTGGCTGTTATAGCCAAAAGTTCGTTATATGAAAAATTGTGTTAGTTCTAGCTTTAGTTTAATGAAAAATATATAACAATCTAACGCTAAATAACAACTAAAACTAGTTACTTCTAGTTCTAGGTCTAGTGTTTATTTTGCTTTCAGTTCAATAAAAATATACAACAATCTAGCTGAATGATAATTAAAACTAGAACTACCATCCTTGATGTACACATCGTGTAGACTACTCGGGGAATACCCCAAATTTATCTATAGAGCAACTTGAGGAATAACCTGAGTTGGATTCTATCTATGAGTGCTAACATTTATAGTTAAATGTAGGGGAAGGTGTTGTACCTTGGACCGATCTGTACCTTGGGTCACTTAACATAAAACAGCAATTTGTGGGTATATTGATGTATTAGTGTGTAGGTGTAGTTGAGATCGAGTCTCTGCTGTCTGATCTTAACAGGTAGGACAATAAAGTGCGATAGTGTGGTTTTCATAGTTTAGAGTAAGTATTGCAACAGAAAAGAGCCCCTGTGAATATCCCAAATTTAACCAGCGTCGCTAAAATGTGCTTACACCAAGAAATCTCTATACGTAAGGCAGCTAAACGTTACAACGTGTCAAAAACTACTTTAATTAAGTACTCAACAAGTATTCACAGTAGAAGAGAATACATTCAAAAATTATTTACACACTGCTGCTCGTTTGTATTATGGGTTGACAAACCGAGAAGTGAGATGTTTTGCCTTTCAATTCCAGCAGCAAATAAGAAGTTTCACGGTTCATGGGTTACAGATAGGACGACAGGAAAAGGGTGGTTACGACAGTTTGTTAAATGACACCAAGACTTAACACTAAGAATACCGGAAGCTACAAATTCAGCAAGGGCACGTCGTTTAATAGAACAAACATCATGACATTATTTAATAATTATAAAGCCGTATTATCGCGTGACACTTTTCGACCACAAAGAATCTGGAACTGCGGTGAAACAGATATGACCACCGTGAAAATTCTGGCCCCTAAAGGGATAAAGCAAGTAGATCAGAAGACAAGTGGTAAAAGGGGCCAAAATACCACTATGATAGCTGCGATTAATGTCAGTGGGAATTACATCCCCCTCATGCTGATATTCCCCAGAGTGCATTTTAAAAAGCACATGATAAAACGTGCTCCAGTAGGTACACTTGGGGCTGCATATCAATCAGGTTGGTCTAATGAACAACATTTTCTTCAGTTTCTCGAGAATTTCAAGCAGCATTTGAAATCGACAGTCGAAGAGCTTGTAGGAATAGCATTTCCTAAGTCATTTACCATATTTAATACAATACAAGGATTCAGGGTATAGAGTTAACGAAAATATATTTGAGGAACATGAGCTCATATCGTCATATGTAACGAATCGTCCTGTTGTTGCACATGTTGAACTCCCTGAAGCTGAGGAGCAATTAGTTGTGGATGGTTTTAATACAGTTTCTACTGAAGACGATCCTCCAAACAAACTGTTGAAGTTCCTAGCATATCTTCGACAACCCCCAGTACATTCTTTGCTTCTTCAAATGCAGCCTCTCAATGTTTCATTGAATCTCGCAGTTGCACACCTATTATACCGAAAATGCTAAAGCCATAGCCGAAGGCACCTTCACGAAAAAAATTAGGAGGACGGCCGAGAGGAAAATCAAGAATACTGACAGACACCTCAGAAAAGCAGGCTATATTGGCTATGAAAAACAAAAGCAGCACGAAAAAAGTGATAAACTAGATAATGGAGCCAAAGAAGAAGAGAACTGTGAAAAATAAGGAATCCGAGTCTGAAGCTGAAATATCAAATTATAAATCCACTTCCAGCGAAGGTGAAAGTTGGGATGATATAATTCTAAGAGATAAAGAGCAACTAGCATGTGTTGATGAAGGTAGAAGGCTAGAAGACAGTTAGATACTTTGTTGCAGAAGTTATAGATATCGAACAAAATGAAATAAAATACCTATGTAGAAGTGCATCGAATAAGTTTATTCATGACTCTACAGAAAGCTATGATTTCAACCTACAGGACGTGATATGTAAATTACCAACCCCACATAGTGCCGGAGGAACAGCACGTCAGTTATTAATCTTACAGTTTGATGATAATTTTTGATAGTATGACTTAGAAATATTGTGCCCACTATTTTCGAAATTCGTTCTAATGAGGCCCATTATATCGAGGTTTTAATGTATTAGAAAAAATGTACATCAAAATATTTTTTTTTCTTCAACGTTGGTTTAATTTTAGACCTTGAAATTAACCATATACGTAAACGTATGAAACAATACCATCAGAACACAAACAAGTTTTATTATACGCCAAAACTCCCATGACGTCTATTTCTGCGGCAAGTGAAATCGAAACAATATCCACATTGTGAACAAAAACGTGTATACGATAAGAACCGGTACCTTATAATAACCGGCAAATACCGAAAGACCGTTTTGGAACTTAACACAAAAGGTAACCCAGAAATTTTGTCCCAGATCAACTACGACAGTTGGTGTCCAGATAACGGTGAGTTGTTGTTTGGAGTAGAATGGCGAAGACAATTTACGCGGCTCTTTCATATCTCGCGAATTCCCCGTCATACTCAGGAAGTTAATTCCTGTATTACCCGAGAGTTACGCGAACGAGAACCGGGAATTTCGAGTATTACATAAAACGG